CCCCCCCCCCCCCCCCCCCCACGCAGCCTGCTATCAGCGTGCGGATCATGGGGATTGCCAGTGCCCGAACCGACGCATTCTCATCCTGGCAGATACATGTACATGTCCTGACTATTAATATGTCAACTGATCATATGTAGATACTGACGAAAAGTTCCGATGCAAAGTCTCTCCCGATGTCTTTTGCTTGCAGAGCTCTCCCTCCCTACCCTCCCTCCCAAGATCTGCCCTAACCTCCACTGGTTCCCTGCTGCGGCTATATTAGACATGATCGTTCTTGATCCTTATGGGGGTTTATAATAACAAGAATGTACTTGATCCTCATGGGGGTTTACTATAACAAAAATGTAACAATTGTATCCAACAAGGGCCCAGCCCACTCTCGCAAGCAGCCAGCCTGAAGAGCTCGGCAGGCGGCCCTGATGCAGGTCATGTCCTTGGATCCGAAGGTCAGGCGGGCCAGGGTTTAGGGTTTAGGGTTCAGGGTTCAGGGTTTAGGGTTTAGGGTTTAGGGGCTTGTAGGAACAGACCGTGCTGAGGGCTTCCGAGGTTTGACAAAGTAACCATAACCAATGATGTTGAGAGCACTGATTTGGGGGATTTCGGAGCATGGAGTAACCAACCCCTGCCCAATCACGCAGGCACCCGCATTCTACAGCCGTGAAGCCCGTTTTCTTCGCTTATGTGCACCTCTGACGCTTGGCACTCTCAGGAGATACAGGACGGACATGGATTCTGGCCTCTTCACCCTCCACTGCGAGGTGCAGTTCCAGCATCATGCCCTCCATGAGGCCGACAGGTTCCTCGAAGAGGTGCAGCGCTTGACTCCAACCCGTGGGTGCTCGTGAGGCGCTAGGGCCTGTGCTCAGAACAGCAGCCTCGACCGCAAATTCGGCCCAGAATGCGATCCCGTGGCAGCGGCCCGGCGTGGCCACCTCAAGCGTTTCGACTGCTGAAGCATCTTTGGCGCCATTGGATGAGAGGTCCAGCTCAAGCACACGGCGCGGGCTACTCAGCGGGCGCCAGGCCATCTCACACAGGTTGCACTCCAGCGGACGATTCCGTGCTGGTACCAGGAAGGGGTTTGCTGCCTTCATCGAGAGCCCACAGAGGCTGCCAAGAGGCTGCCTCGCCATCCAGACGCCCTGGCACTCCACCAGCACCGCGAGGATGTGGATGCTTGCCGGCACCGGCAAGTTCAGTGTGCCACGCCGGCGCAAAGCTGCTGCCATGCACCAGGGGCGGGCCTCTGCGGCGACAAAGGGCTCCAGCGCTGCAAGACCTTCCTTGGCCGGCACCTCTCCGGGATTCACCGCCTGAAGACCATGTGGCCACTGTCCTCTCGACTGCAGCTTTGCTAGGGCTTTTGATCTAATGGGCACAGAAACCTGCACGGCCTTACAGGCCCCGGTCATGGATGTCATCGCATCGCCTAAAGCTGCCATGCACCAGTAATCCTCGGAAGGGAGAAACAAGACCTTGCCGGATCCCTCGGAAGCTGCCTGCGCCATGGCAGCGCTCAAGAAGTGGCGGTATGATTCCTGGGCTGCGATCAGCAGCCTGTCCCGCTCCGGTGGGATAGCTGTGATGCCCGGGACCCAGCGAGAGGGAACGCTGTCATCCTGGGAGTGCCAGGCAAACCAGACTCCTTCGTCGTCGTGAGCAGCAACAACCCTTACGTCGTCACCTGAAGCCAAAGCGGTTGGGGCCAAGAAGGACAGACAAGGACGCCAGTGGTGGCGAGCCGAGAAATGCTCCTCCGAGCTGCAGGCATCGGTCCAGCTGCTGTGTGTGTAGCCACCTCCCATGTCCAGCTCCCACCACCACGCGACAGCATGTGCCACGCCCGCATGGGATGCGCGGACCGTGGCAGGTGCTGATCGTGGGCAGCTCGAGGGCAAGCTGCCAAAGTCGATGGCGAAGGCATCCCATGGTTCGGAGAGCCCTCGAACCGCTGCGTCTTTGTCGTTGCCGGTCAAGCTGAGACCCAGCTGCCCCAGGGCCAATGGCCACGGGGCGCCACGGAGCTCTGGGAGGTCGCAGGCAGCCACGGCCGGACATGTTACCAGCATTGCTCGCACAGTGACCCGACGAGGAACAAACGTGCAACTCGGCTGCAGCAGTCTCGCCTGCGCATCTCGCAGAATCGGCAAGATGCTCTCCCCAAGAAGCTGTGAGTCGAAAAGCTCAAAGACGCAGACGTCCGCCCGCTGCGGAAGGTCCACGCCGACCTCCAAGTCGCTGGCGACTTTGTTCACGACCCGAACTCTTTGGTGCAGGCCGTTCTCTTCAAGCACTTGCCGGGCCACATCCGCGCATGCGGCGTAGACCTCGCAAGCCACTGCACGTGTTGAAGGAAATTCCTGGCATGCTAAACCGGCCAGTAGCCCGGTGCCAGCACCTAAATCGAGCACGAGCTCGGGTGGTGCGGAGAGTGCGCGGAGTGCATTGGCATAAGCTTCGTTCCTGCCAGTGTCGTGAAGCATACTCAAGTAGGACGTGGAGCCGTGCAACAGCTTTGCATCCGGGTCTTCGCTTGCCACAGCCAGAGATGTCGAAGGGTCGTCTGCCTTCGAACTCTCGGCTGCATCCGCCGGACAGTAGCAGGCCATGTGGGACAAAGGCTGGACAGTGCCGGCTTGGGGCGTCCCTGGGTCAAACTGACAGTGGATCATGATTGAGCTGGTAGGTCAACGACGCACTAGCCGTCTTCATGTTGATTCGGTGCCGCGAGTGGTCTGAAACTTTTGCGAGGAGCAGCAGCTGCTCATTTCTCGTATGTGTTCTGATGTAGCAAAAGCAGCAGCGGATTGCAGGATGGTCATGAAACAGCCAACATGTTGCTAGTACGCACAACTTCTTGAAGCAGAGGGCGAAGCACAAACAGAAATGAAACGCAGCCCACTATCATAGTATCGCTCCATTTTTGCTATAGCCCTATTGGAGCAATATTGAACTGTTATAACCTGTTATACACTACAAGTATGGCAGCAGCAAGGGAATCGGAACTGCGGCCGAGTCGCGCCCCGGCCGATCGCGGAGAGTGAGCTGAGGGCCGTGCAGCGGGCATCCGCCCGTTCGCTGTGCAGCGTTGCGAGGAGCACCTTCTTGCACACGGTCTCCTGGGCAGTTCGGCTTGGTTGGCAATTTTTCCTCCACCCTGCTTGGCAGGTCGGTGTTTAGGGCTTCGGATATCGGGTTTAGGGTGCACTGCAGTGGGCTCTAGGGGGTTCGAATACTCTTAGGCTAAAAGAGACGTGAGCCCTTCGCGGCTGTGAGTCGGACTTGCAACATCAAGACCGGCTCTTCAACGCTCAATCCTAAATCCTAAACCCTGGCTCTGGATCCTCGAAGTGGAGCAGTGCCACGGAGGCCAGGCTTCTAACAGCCGCATCGCTGTGCCTTTCCGAGGTGTCGGGCTTTCGCTTTGGGAAAATGCCTCCGGCTTGTGATTTTGTCGCGATTGTGTACAAAGTTGTATATCACTGCTATGCTGTTCCCGCTGGCTACCTTCGCAAGACGCCGAGGAGTTCTTCACGTGTTAACACAAAAGACGGGACAGAATACGCAGAAGACTCGGAAGACCCCAACAAAGCCACGAGACTCAACCACGCATCTAGACAGTCTTCACATGAGAAACCATTGAGCCTAAACGTCCCCAAAACCCTAAAACGCCGCAACTCAGGAACTTGACGAAGGGCTCCAGTCGCGAAGCGAGCGCGCGGGCCGCGACGAGGTCGTCGGACTTGACAACGCGGACGAACGCCTTTTGGGAGGAGTGGTGATTGGTTAGGGTTTAGGGCTTTTTTGGCTTCGGGTTGGGCGAGGAGGGGTTGAGATTTAGGACATCTCAACCCATGGAAACTCTCCGAGGATCAAAGTCGCGGTGCTTTCAAGAACAGTCTGATGGTGATGCTTAGATTTACTTGATCTGTTATGTTGAAAAGAAGCTTCATGGTCCAAAATCCTCATCGCATGGTGCAGCTTTCGAGCTCCAGCCGTGTTCCTACGTTGTCTTCTACTCCAGCTGCTGGACTCCAGCTCAAACCTTTGCCGTCTTACATTCTCTGCGGCAACATAGCATTCTCTCCAGGTCGCCACGACCTCTTGCATTGGGATTTCATAGGGATTTCATCTCAGATGTCTTTTCGCGCATGGCACGTCGTAGATTCCGCAAGGCAACCTTGCAGTGCCAAAACCATTGCGAGGGTTTTTCTGCACTAGGATCTCTATCACAAAAGTCACAAACCCACTTGGCCATCCAGCACATTTCGACATCTCATTGGCCTGGCCAGCTGCCACGCGCACGTACTCCACCTTTGCACGGGTTCACGTGGCTTCTCTGGAACTCCTGCTGTCATTCTGCTTTGCTTGTCAATGTCTCGTTTAACAAAGGAAGGGCCAACTCCAGCAAGCGAATAACAACGACAGGAGCACCTCGCTCTCAAGACGCTGGAGGATCGCCTCCATTAGAGCCTCGTCCTGGTGACCGCGTGCCCCTTTCGGGCTGGGGTTCTGCACTGCAGCAACACTTTCGGGGTTCATGGATGCAGACATTGAGTGGGCCGATGGCCCAGCATACACGCAACAGCAGTCCGAAACGTCGGGACAGCCAAAGCTACAAGCGAGCTATGCTTCAGGTCGGATATTCGTCATCCAATAAGTCACTGTCCTTGTCTTTCCACAAGGCCGCCAGTGCATCCTGAGCTGCCGCGCGGACCTGCGATCAGCTTGCCATGTGAAGAGAAGCCCAAAGGCACATGTATGTCCTCGGACTAAACCCATCCACTCTTCACGGCCTCAGAATACCCAGCTGCGGCGAAGCAAAAGCCACAACTTCATCCGAGCGAGAAGAACCAAACCAAAAACCCTAAAATCCCAGCACAAACCCCTGACATACCCCACCCGCATGTACGAGCTCTCATGACTCCCAATTCTTAGAGCCGCCCAATAAAATCAGAATCTGCGTTTTATATTAAGGGGGCGGGGGTCATGTAAAATAGTCCCTCCCTGCATACAGTCTAGGTTCTAAACGGTTAACCTGGCGCGCCTGGCAATCAGAAACCCCCACCCATAACAGCTTCCATATCAGCCACCCTGAAAGGCCACCGACTAACCGGAAAATACCCCCCAACCCCAGGATGGTCTTTAAACCCTAAACCCTTAGCCCTGAAGGGGAGAAGAACTCTGGGAACTTGCCCGTGGCCTCCTCCCGGCTGCTTTCCAGTCGGAGTGCCGCAAGCTGAACGGCCTACAGACGTTTGGGGCTTGTAGGCTGACTGTGGCTCCCAGATGATCTGTTGCTGGTGCTTCTTGGATTAAAGTTTTAAGTAAAATTTGAGGCTTCGGGTTCACGGTTTGGAAGCTGGAGAAGAATGATTAGTGCTGGTTGAGGGCGATGCCCTGCGCTTCTCGGACTTGCAACGGCTGTGAGAGTTAAGACGCGAATTGGAAGCCTTCTTGGCACGATGTCCACAAAGCGACTCGAAATTCAGTCTTTGCGTGGCAGCTCCAAATACCACGAGCCAAGCCCATGCACAGGAGCGGACCTCATGGCAAGCAAGACCGTAAAGGTCAACTCAGAACTAAGAAATTGTAGATTGTAGAGTTACAAGAGAGATGGATCCGAAAGGTTCCAGACAAAGTAACTAAGTATGGCACCGCGCGAACCGCCTGAACGTGAACACATCGAGGCATATATAGCCTCAATTGGGAAACCACTCCCGTGCCGTCCCCCCTGTTCCTGTACATCGCCGACGACAGCCACCTTAGTTCGAGTTTTCCGGGGAAGTTTCAAAAATCTACATGTTGGAAGGTCGACTACATGCGAACGATCGAACGCCTCAGGCGCAGTATTTTGGGGTTTCACAGCCTTTTCGCCATGCAGTCTTGAGGAAGGACAAACTTCGTCTCAGGTACTTCTGCGCTTTAAAAATCTCACAACAATCCAGAAACCTCATGGAGTCATCCTCCGGCCCAACAGCCTTAAGCCTTCCATGTGCTAGGGTCACGAGTTGGGAGAGATTGCATTGCAGGGCGAAGCGCTTCTATCGCAGAGAAGCAGTCGATATCTAGAAAATTCCACAGCCCCCCTCACTACATCTTTATGTCATATGGCAGTATCATTTCATGAGGCCTTCAGCTGCTTCAGAAAAGCATGTTCGAGGTCTACTTCGGAGCTACATGCAATGCACAAGGCCCTGATTCCTGAGACGGACAGACTGAAAGCTTGAAAAGTCTTCTTGGTTGCCGAAGCTCATCCTGGACGGCTTCCACGACAATCTGCCGCCATTCATTCTGGGGGTCCTGGAGCACATTTCCACACTGACATATACAGTGACTTAGCCGCAGAAACGAAGGAGACGCAAGCCGAAACCACCGTGACTTTCATTCCACGCCATCTTTTCTACAACATCGTCGAACGTGCCTTTTGCAAACCGCCGTGGCAAAAAATGCGGTCGAGCCCGCTTCTTTTGGAACCAATAGGAGCAGAAGGCCGGATTCAAAAGACCTCAGACCTGACCCCGCCTCCAACTTGACACGTCGCCAAAAACAAACGCTGGTGTGAGCCACAGTCGCCCTACCATGCGAACATGGAGATTTCAGGCACTCAAGGAACCGATCCCAGAGAGTAGGACGCTTAATACAGAACCCCTAAGCCAGGAAACCAGAAAAAACATAGGGGCCTTAATAATCAGAACAGGGTTTTGGGGCCCAGTAGACCATAATGATAACAAGGAACCCCCCAAAATAGTATAGGTACTTAGTGAGACCCCTACATTACGTGCTCGTTGATCCTCGAGCAATGACATGGCCGCTGCCGTTGCTTCTGCGCTGCCCCCTTTGGCCACGCAGCGGAGCGCCTGAGGGTTTAGGGTTTAGGGTTTAGGGGTTTACACTCTCACAACTCGGACAAGCCAGGCGAGGATCCAAATGTTCACAATCGGTGTGAAAAGTCGCAAGCATCCGAGGGTTCAGGGGTTTAGGGTTTAGGCTTTGTGCGCATCGGGGCCTAATCGTTTGGGAATTCTTAGAGGCTCGGGCCAGGGTTCTCGGGCTCAGAGGCTAATTTGGTTCCCTGCTGGGGGCTATATAAAAAACGATCATCTTTAATCCTTATTGGGGTTTATCATGACAAAACTGCAAACATGTATCAAAAACCAAGGACCCAATAATCAGGATTCAGGATCTAGGGCTTCGCAGAGCTTCAGGGTCGCCCTTCGTATTTGGTTCTTGCTGACAACAAGACAATCAACTGTCGCCCACCGCTACCACCCCTCTGCCAATACCTCGAGTGACGACGACGACGACGACGACGACGACGACGACCAGTAGCACCACCACTGCGACGACAAGGACTTGGCCTGCTTTGTTTTTGAGGTGACTGCCTTCCGCTGGTTTCTCGGTACTGCCGGTATGTATGCATCATTTCCAGAATATTGTCCTCTCATCAATTTTGTCACTTCTCCCCCTTCCCCTTTTCTTTAAAGCACACTAGCTCTGCAACCCGCGAACCCAATCCCGGAATACCTTGAGCTTTGTCTGCCCCGGTTTTCGGCCCGGCGACCTTCAACGCCGCGCTGCGGGCTGGCCGGTTCCAATCCTAGTTTTCACAGGGCCGGCGCGAAACCAGAACACTTCTGAGGGAGCTATGACGAGGTAGGTAATGTAGGAGCCTTAATAACTAGAATAGGGTTTGGGGGGTCAGTATAGCATAAGTATATATAATAAGGAACCCACAAAATAATATAGGTAATGATTAAGGCCCCTATAGCAGCTAGATCGGAAAGTCAGAGCCAAGAGGCAAACAGTTGACTACAGAAATGTATCCGAGGGAAGGGGGCTGCTACCCGCATCTCGCATCACTGCGTGTGTCCCTCTGAGCATCCTAGCCATAGCTTGCACTATCCCTTGCGGAAACTCTCCCCCTCTCAGCCCACGGAAACTGTAGAGCCGATCCCAGCCGCAAGGCCCAGTGAACTCAAACCCTGTAGTTTTTTCGGCGGAGAGTCTAGGATTTCGACTCCCGCGCTCCCTCACGGCAGGCAAGGCTTCTGAGAAGGTCTCCAGGGGTCTAGGAGTTTTAGGTTTCGCTAAATTTTGAAACTCTATGACTCTATGAACCCCAAAGCCCCCAAACCGGTTTTGTCCTGGAGCGCAACCGACGTAGCGGTGATGACAGCAGGGTCCCCATGGAGAGCCACCTGCTTACAGTTTGGGGTAGGGTTTAGGGTTTAGGGTTTAGGGTTTAGGGTTTAGGGTTTAGGGAACGAAGGCAAGTATCTTTTTTGAGTCTTGGGTTCAGGATACCGGGGTTGGGGGTGAGTGTCGGGATTCATGTACGAGTAAGTGGGACACCCGTGATGGGCTTAGGGCCTATACTACTCGGCAGCAGACAACAGCGAAGTTGTTGTGAAAATCAATGAATTGAAGGTCTGACTACAATTGCACCCAACGCTGTCCTCGAGGACGTTAGAAAAACGAACAGCGGTCTGTGCTGTTGTCAGCCCGGAGTGATGCGGTGCAACTTTCGTGGCATCGTTGCTTAACCTGTCGCTTCTCGGCAACCGTATAGAAGTATGTCGAAAAGTCTAGAACCAGATGCTTAAGCAAGTATGACGGTTGCCTGACATTAAGAGCTTGTTTCATTGATCGATGGCAGGTGTCCTTAACGCCTGTTACTTCGCGGAGGGCCGCGATTGTCCCCAATAAACTACACATTGTAGAGCGATTGCGGGCTCGAGAACCCTTCGCGCAAACCGACAAGCTCGGCGATTAAACGCAAAGCTTTCAGCTGCAAGATGCTGTAAGTATAACTAGGGTAAACCCTCAACCCACAAATCATACACCCTGAAGTCCTGAACTCTGCAACCGAACACCTGAAACCCATCCTGAACCCTAACCTCCAAGGTCTAGACTCTAAAAGAACTCCAAGGACCTACATAAACCTTGAACCGGGCCTGCCCAAGCACTGTCAGAGCCATAGTCCGCACACGCGAATCCCGGTCCCGGACGCGAGCCAGAGACGCCTGCACCTCCGTACAGGAACGGTTCAAGGCTAAGGGTTGAGGTCTGATGAACTGATGCCTTAATAATTAGAATAGGGCTTGGGCGTATGCTATGCTGTAACAATAAGGAACCGCAAAAATAGCACAGGTAGAAATGTTAGACTACTGCATGGGTCTTACAACCACCACCCGCTCTGTTGAAAACTTAGAGCTCGTAAGCTCTCCCAAGCAAGAAGACGTGCTATGAGTATGTTGCTCGTGCTGCAAATTTTGTTGTCAATGCTGCCGCTGTTATTACTGCAACTGCTTCTCTTTGATTGCCCATCTTTTGTCTGATCTCCCATGTTTGTCTCATCTGCTACGAATAGATCGTGCTGTGAGGAATGGTCTGGGGATGTTTGTTCCACACCTTACCTTGTCCAGTGAGCAGAGTTTCGGAGTTGAACTGCGCCACGGCAAAATGATGCGAAATGTCTCCGACTGAAACTGCACACAGCACTGCAGCGACGCGCGGCGTCTGCACCATGCCGGCAAATTAACTTGCATGATTCTGAACCTGGAATACTTTAACGTCACTAAACAATTCTTTTCACACAGCACAAAGAATCAACAACTTCCTGGAAGCTCCTGTCAAAGGTGCTTTAAGGTCGCTTCGGTGCCGAGGAACGCAGAATGCATCCCCCTTGGGGGCAATCTGGCTCATCAATGTGAGGGCAGCGTGTCGCACGGCCCGATCTGGGTCATCACTGAGCTCGACCTTGGGGTCAGAAGAGCAACAATACGCAGCTTGGGTTTAGGAGTTTAGGGCTCAAGGTTCAGAAGTCTTAGCCGCTAAGACGCTAAGACTTAGCGTTTTGATCCTTCCACAAATGAGGATTACCCATCATGTTTCTAGCACTCGGTGCTTCGCGGACAACTCCAGGCAGGCACTGAGGAATCACCAGGTCAGACCGTGTTTTCTTGCGGTGCGAACTTTCAAAGGTACCCCTGCCAAGAACTCCCGCCAACTCCCCAACAATGCTCTTTAGCACCACGCGAGCTAAAAAACAAACAAACACAGACACGCAATCTCTCTCTCGCTCTCTCTCTCTCTCTCTCTCTCTCTCCTTCACTTACTTACTTTGCCGCAAACAGACAGAGAGCCATAACAAACAAAAACAAGCACATGCACCCACTTCGGAATCGCGCGCTCACGCTCACGCACACCTCCATATCCTGAAATCTCTGCAGTAACCCGACTGCTTGGCGAGGGAAATCGCAACTCGAAAGTGAGGAAGCCCGGGCACGACCTTTGCCAGCGCGCCGTCGACGCCCGCCTTGTAGTCGCGGGCTGCGACCTGAAACTGTACAGTTTCAAGGGGCTTCGCGGGCTGGGGTGAGAGAGAGAGAGAGAGTTCCGGTTGGTCATGGCTTGAGAATGACTCTGTTCTCTGACACGTAAGCACCACCATAGGAGGCCTAGTTAGTTTTTGAGTTACCAGGTTCACAACTCGGCGCGTGTTCCGGCCTGCTGTCATATAAAATGCGTGTTGCAACCAGGATCGTCTGCCCAAGCCCCTGATGCTGATACTAGTGTTATGACTCTCGATGCACTCTTGATTCAGGCTGGGCCGCCGGAAGCACAAAACCCCCGAAACCGGCCCGGGGATTTGTAATATCAAAGAAGACTCCCGCCTGCAGGGCCTCAATGGCGAGCTTCCGCTCCTCCCAACAGGGCAGAAGCCGAGAGCGCGATGGTCAGATGTAAGGGCTACTTGCCACACAGGCCCGGGGCCTTAAACACAAGAGCAAGGCTGAGCACGGGCCTCGAAACGACTTCAGCCCCGAGCTTTCCCGGAACGATGCACCCTGAAACCCTATAGGCAGTAAGCTCAAACCAGACCCCCCAATCCCCCGTCCAACAAGCGAGAACCCTTCTTCTGCTCCTCCCATGCCGGGTCGGGTGCAAGGAGGGAACCGATTCGCTCAAGCGTCGGGGCCATGCTGAGCCGAAGCGGCTACGGTTTATTTGGGGTTGGGCTGGTGCGGTTTGGGGATTTTGCGGTTCGGGCTTCCTGGCTTAGCCTTGCACCCTTCCGACAACCCTGCGTTTCTACTTTCCGCTTCTGCTTTAGGGCTTGGATTGTAGCAGAGGGTCACAGGTCAAGGAGCCAGCACGACCGGTCAGGGCTTGGAAGGTGTCTACGCGGCCAATCTACACTAGCGCCACTGCAGCCACTGATTCGCAGACCCTGACTTTCCGTATAGACTACGTGGCAACCTTTTCTAAGATTTTACAGGGAGGACGCTCTCGCTCAGGCCCATTGCCCACAGGTCGCAGCCGACAAGTAGCATAGTATGGAAGAGAAAGTCCGACTACTCAGGAGTGTCGCTTGGGACCCAGTTTGAAGCTACCGCTCGGCTCTGCCTCCTGTCATATCAACATCGCGAAGATGCATCGCTTCCAAGCACCTGCAGCTGAGGACCAGTGAGCCGTGTGAGTAGTCAAGGCACGCGCAAGCCCTTCAAGGTGACCCAAGCCCTAATCGTGAGCTTCAGGCCTCTGTTTTATCCAACCCTTATCGCAACCCGTAGAGTAGTTCTTCATAGTAGTGCTACCTCCCTGCCCTGATTTCAAGCCGAGGCTTGGAAGCAGATTTTGCAGGTCGGAGGGTCAAAACTGTCGGTATTAAGACAAGGTCCTGAGGAGTAGAATGGGGTCTTTGGAGCATACGGAAGAAGTGTTGCACCTCCTGGACAGTGCTGGACATCTCCAGGTTCGAGCCAAAGGTATGCCGCAGATTCACACTCAAAGACCGTCCGCCAGATTTCAAATCATCTGGGAGCTGTGCAGAAAGCTGGCCATAGTGGTCGCTCCAGCAGACGAAGGTTACGGAAGAAGCTTAACCAGGAGCAGGTTGACCGCCAGGGTTATACAAGAGGAAGCTTGTGAAGACACATATGTCAAACATTACTGTGAATCCCATGCTGACCTGGGCTGCAAGCTACCAGTCCAGAGAAAGACACACAAGCACGCACATCCACCCAAACAGGCACGCATGCGCGCACGCGCAAAGTCACCTCGAACACTCATGAGTAGAAAGCAGATGACCGATTTTTTGTTCGTCCTGAGACTTCACACCACCACGCGCTTGAGAACAACGTCCAGGATGATGGTGCCGAGCGTAGAGCCCTGGCCGCCAAACGTTCTACGCTGCTGCATCAAAAACCACCAGTAGAGACTGCCATACTTGCAATTCAAGCACCTTGCAAATCTTTAAGTTGTTGAATCTAGGGGCCTGAATAATTAGAATAGGGTGTTGGAGTATATTATACTAGACTCATAATAAGGAGCCCCCAAAATAGTCGTGGTGATCATTTAGGCCCCTATACCCTAAGAACCCAAAACCCACTTTTTTGTAGGTTCTTATTATAAACCCTAATATGGGATTTATAGGGACCCTACAAAAAAGTAGGTTTTGGGTTCTTAAGGTATTATGCAACCTTGAAGCTGAAGAGTCGGAGTCGACAGCAACCATCCGGTGAGTCTGCGCCTCACCATTTGCGATGCGGACCTTGTTGAAGACGGTGCTGTAGAGCCTCCTGTGGTGGCAATTGGGGGGGACCCTAATATAGTACCCCAAATAATGGGATCCTTATTATAAGGAACCCCAAAATAAGGTACCCCCTAATTTTCGGAAACTCCCAATTTCTAAGGCTGCGAAACATCAGACATTTCGATTCTGGGCCTCCCGCCTTCGATGTCCCCTCTTGGAAGAGAATGCTGTCCGATCTTCTTGCCAAGTCGACTCGCCAGCTGCAACCCAAACCAAGGTTTTAAGCTGAACCTGCCACTCCTCTTCATGTCGTCCCGATTGGGAAGAGGCTGCAACTCCTGCCCTGCGAGCACATGTCTCGCCAGAGATTTGCATCAAGCTGAATCACGCTGGGAGGTGCTGTGAAAGACGACGGGGTGCCAGAATACTTCAGGAGTGAAGCGACTTGATAGCAATGCAGCTAAGCAAAATCCGAAGCCTCGTTCCTCGCTGTGACCACCCCTGCGCACTCTATCAATCCACAATCCCGAACAATGCACCCTGGAATATCCCCGAAGGTTTTTCCAAGCATCCTTCTTGGTATGCGATGGGCGGTGGAATCATGAAGCGTCGATAGCCTCCCTCGCGCATGCCTCGGATCCCTCACAGGGGCAGGAGCAGCTTGCACGTTCAATCAAATCCTTGATCTATCTGGCTGTCTATCTATTCTAATCATTATGTCTTTTGTGTCGGATCGCTATAGCACTGCACTTTGACCGGGGGCACTTTCGGCCCACGCCTCACACCTCCTAGCAAATCTTCACAAATAAGACACCGTTCTGAGACCTTCGAACCTGTTTCTCCACCTCCCCACTTCACCACGGAGGCATCGATCAGCTGCATGTTCGTGACAACCAGCAAAGAGGTGGACAACTGCACAACCAGCCAACCACTGCTTTGCCAGGCTTCTCACGGCAAGATCTGGCCCCTGCTCCCACAAGCTTAAAATCGTGTGCCTTCGTCCAGTCCCGCGATGGTGGATCCATCGCCCACCTCTGCGGCAGCCGGCGAATTGCACAACAGCGAGCTGTTAGACACAGCGATGTAAGAATGAACGAAAGAAAGACAGAAAGAAAGGAAGAAAGACAGAACGAAAGAGCGAACGAGAGAGAAAGAGAGAGAGCTAGAGATAGAGAGAGAGAGAGAGACACTGATGGATTCGGCCAAGAGCAAGAGAGGGCAAGAATGGAAAGAGAAAGAGGCATGTTGTACGAAGATGAAATGAAAGTTTTTGTACCACGTATGCCAGACCACAGGAATGGCATACGAAAACAAGATGAGATGATCCG